TTTATTAATTAAATGATTGATTAATTTATTGAATTAAAGGTCCAGCCTTCATTAAAGGAATGCATATCGCCCGCTGCCGTTTGTCAGTTTTACACTGAGATTATTTTGTGTGAAAAATGGTTATGTCATTTTTTGTTAAGAGAATAAAAAACATTATGTACGATCAGTTAGCCCTCAGTTTGTGTTCTGGACTTACTCTCAGCTACTACCACCCCAAATTTTAGATCAGAATCTGAAAAATTAGACCCCAGGATCCATCCAGCCAATAGAAACCAGCCTCTAGGGAGCACAAGCCAGTGTCTCTGGTTCTGGTCCCAAGCCTGGGTAAATGTTGTGAGGGTTGTGTCAGGAAGGGCATCCCATGTAAAACACTTTTGCCAAAACAATAGTGTGAGTTCATCAAAGTGAAACCATACCGGATCGGTCGTGGCCCGGGTTAACAACGACCACCGTTGACAAACAGGGTGCTAGCGGAAATTGTGCTACTGTTAGTTGAAGACCACCAGGAGGGACACGTGTCAGGAGACGGAGGAGAAGAGGAAAGTGAAGAACGTAGGACTGAGGGTTGCAACTCTAAATGTGGGGACAATGACAGGTAAAGGTAGAGAGCTGGCTGGCATGATGCTGAGAAGGAAGGTAGATGTTTTATGTGTCCAAGAGACCAAGTGAAAGGGCAGCAAGTCTCGCAGCATTGGAGCAGGGTTCAAACTGTTTCACCATGGTGTGGATAGAAAGAGAAATGGAGTAGGGGTGGTCCTGAAGGAGGAGATGGCAAAGAATGTAGTAGAGGTGAAAAGAGTGTCAGATAGGGTGATGTGTCTGAAGGTAGAAGTAGAAGGTCTGATGCTAAATGTTGTCAGTTGTTATGCTCCACAGGTTGGATGTGATGAGGAGGAGAAAGATACATTTTGTAAATATGTGGATGAAGTGATGGAGAGTATTCCAAGGGAGGAGAGAGTGGTGATGGAGCAGACCTGAATGGACATGTTGGTGAAGGAAACAGAGGATGAGGAAGTGATGGGTAGGTTTGGTGTCAAGGAAAGAAACCAGGAAGGACAGATGGTGGCGGATGTCGCCAAGAGAATGGACATGGCTGTAGTCGACACCTGTTTCCAAAAGAGGGAGGAGCATAGAGTGACTTATAAGAGTGGAGGAAGGAGTACGCAGGTCGACTACATTCTGTGTAGAAGAGGAAACCTGAGGGAGATTGGAGACTGTAAGGTTGTGGCAGGGGGGGGGCGTGGCCAGACGACATCGGATGGTTGTGTGTAGAATGACTGTTGTTGTGAAGAAGAGAAAAAGAGTCAAATCAGAGAAGAAGACCAAATGGTGGAAGATGAGGAAGGAAGAATGTTGTGAGAAATTCAGAGAGGAGCTGTTAAAGGCTCTGGGTGATAATGTAAATGTTAACCCTAACCCTAAATAAAGAAATAAAGATAAAAAGACTGAAACTGTCCAGAGGAGGAAGCTCACTTTAACACAGTTTTCTCTCCTGCTGCGTCGAAAATAACAGAACCAACGCCTCCGAGGGTCGATCCAGATTAGTCCACGCACACACACACATGCACACACACACATGCACACACACACATGCACAGCAAGCAGGCGTGAACAAACACAGCAGAGCGCAGCCTGAGAGTAAAGGAATCCTCTCACTGCAGCTGCTTCAAACACACAACACGTGCACAAACAGCGCACGTGAAGAGGAACTCCCATCCGCTGGGATCATTGTTGGACTCTTCCTCTTCCTCTCCTGACGCCGGGGCGGCTCAGGCTGAGGAAGAGGAAGTGCGCTCTTCTGTGACCTTGAACACGGCAGAGTTTCTGCTTTTAGACGAGAACTCGTGGGTTCTGGTCCATTTTTATCAGCCGAACATGGGGGGGGGGGGGGGGGTGACTCTGAGCTACCACGCTGAAGTTTAGCTCATTATCTGTTAAATCAGCTGAACGTCAGCCATTTTGTGTTTCCTGAGCTCGTCCGGTTGACTCAGACTGAAAGACAGAAATGGACCACAAACATTCCTGCCTTCAACCGTGCACCACCGTGCAGACAGCTGGGAGGACCGGCCCCCTAAGTGGCCCACAACATAAACAATTTAGGAGTTGTGTAATTTTGGACAACAAGCTTCAGAAGTTGATAAAAATGTTCACCTTTTTGCACAAGTTTAATAATTTTAAACAGATTGGATGAAATAATCGTAAAACGTGCAACATTTAGTACAGATGTTTGTTTCTTTATTTGAGCGTGTTTAATGGTTAAAAAAGGATCAAACATTCAGCTACTTTCACCAAAGTGTTCTGAGTAATTCTTCATAAAACTGATTAAATATAACGAGTGTTTAGAAAAATCATCAGTTCATTAACGAAGAGGAACTGGGTCTTCTGACCTGAACCAGTTTTAGTGAACTGCTTCAAGTTCTCATCCGTGATCATGCACATCTGGATTTTATTTATTTTTAAAAGTAAATGTTCAGTTCATGGCGTCAGGTCACATGATCAGTTTTTCTTTTTGTTCTTGACGAAAGACTAAAATAAACTTTCTGAGCTCTGAGAAGAAAAATCTAATTTCAAACAACAATTTTTAAATCCTGTTCACCAACATTTATTACTTCTTATCCTTCCACTGACGTGTCGAATAAATAAGTATAAATTATATAAGTCATATGTGTCAAACTCAAGGCCCGGGGGCCAAATGTGGCCCTCAACATCTTATCTGGGCCCCAAGATGTTATTTTAAATGTAAAATACTTTTATCACTTTAATTGTTTCAGTGATCTTTGATTATGATGTCGTAAGTGCAACAGAGAGCATGAGATGAGACCAAACTCTTGTTGAGGAACCTGTGACCAAGACGAGATGTTGGCATCACATTTGAGTTCATGTGGATTCTGAAACTGGCCCTTAGTTTGAAAAAGGTTTTCATTTTGGCCCCTGACCTAAGGAAACGAGCGACGTCCCCCTGAGGGATGTGAACAGAGCATGTTTTTATTTTTGTAGATGAGTGTTTTTCTGCACTGGAGCTGAACAGAGAATGAACCTGAATGTTTTTGGATCAAAAGGCGGCGCAGACTGACCCGTCCTGCGAGTGGAGGAGTAACTTTATCCACCACCAGGTGCAGTGGTGGAAGATTAATCTTGGGCCACCACAAAAATTTGAAGAAACTACTTTTTTAAACAATATAAAAAGTAAAAAGCAGAGTTTTGTCAAATGATCGTAAAACCATTTTACACATATAAGGTGGCGGCCATCTTGGATTCTGACGTGGCAACCTAATTGTTGGTGGAGACCTCACGCCTCGATGCAGCCTCGCATCAACATGGAAGTCACTTGTTCTTCAAGTTATCGCTCTCCCAACGTGCACGGACACACGGAGAGTATTTCCAATTCCCTCCCTTCTCTCTGTGGCAGAACATAAAAATTAAATTTACTGGCCCAGGTTCAAAGATTGGAGACAAGAACTTATCCACGGATGGATGGATGGATGGATAGATGGATGGATGGATGGATGGATGGACAGAGGGGTGGATGGATGGATGGATGGACAGAGGGATGGATGGATGGATGGACAGAGGGGTGGATGGATGGATGGACAGAGGGATGGATGGATGGACAGAGGGATGGATGGATGGACAGAGGGATGGATGGATGGACAGAGGG